TGTAAAGTACGAAGGGTGATGCCGTGTTATTTCATATACATTATCATGTGAGGAAGAGTGTAAAGCATGAACGGTGATGTCGTGTTATTTTATATATATATTATCATGTGAGGAAGAGTGTAAAGCACGAAGGGTGATGTCATGCCATTTTATTTACATTATTGATGTTTAATAATTTAATACCACACAAGAGAGGGGGAGGGGTGATTTGTATGGTGTCCAATTTTTGCATGCACAAATTATAGAAGGATCTGGTTCTTCTATGTATTCTTTATACTACTATTGCGAAAATAATAAATGTAGAAAGTAAAAAAGCATAAGTATTTTTACATGGAAAATACCCTGCTCAAAAGGTGAAAAACCCACGACCTACTGCTCAGTAGGATTTTCCCCAACAATTCATTAAATCACTGAGCCAAAAAGCATTTACAAAGACTCTTTGTAAACCTAAGGATTACCTCTAATCCTATTGTAGCAACCAGTCTCTAACTATTGCGACAACTTCAAGTTAACTCTAACTTGAATACTTATAGTACCTAATACAATTGCTTCTAGATAAAGTTGAAAGGTATAATTTGAAAACCACTTACTACACTGAAACTAGAATAAAAGACAGACACTTGGAACGGGTTCTTCTATCTGGTTCATGTAGCTTCACGTTCTCACACTTGAATCACACAAGAATTGCTTGCAAAATGCCTTGCTATTTTGCTCTCAATTCACGTTTAAATTTAGCTTTTGTGCGTGCTTGTAAAGTGAGAGCATCCTATAATTTATAGAGTTAGTAGAATAGGAAATAACCAGAGTCTCAATGTTATACTCTTCCTTGGTGGAAGAGTTCTAGTTAATTTCAACCTCTAATTCCTGTCTTATTTTGGATAGTGTTCTTTTCGAGTAAGGAGTCGTTCTCCTTATCAATTATGCAACATTTTCGATCAGGAAATATCATATATAACAAGTTAAACTTATCTCTCTTACGTGCATCCCTTATGCTTGAATATGTTCGTGTTTGTGTACCCTGTGGATGGACCTAGTTCATGATTGAGTTCCTTTGTCAATCATCAAAACAAACTTCATTTGGACCAACAATTATAATGTGAGGATGAGAGTAAGATTTTCAAAACAAACTTCACCTGGCCGTACTACGCCTCTCACAGCAATGTTCAACGATCTCACTGCTACCTTGAAGTTGACTGGTAGTGGTGTTTGTTTGGTGGCGCTTATTATTAGGCGTGCAAAGTTAATTCTTATTGGTTTATTGCATTATGCTTTTATAGATAATTAAAAGTGTTTGGTTATCTCATCTAAGTGTTTGATGTTATTTCAATCATGTTACTATTTCTCCTTTTTGTGATAATTTTTGTTTTTCATCATTTACGTGGTAGTATAACTTTTCAATTATATACAAGTAACAATTTCTTATATGACCCAAAGGAAAACTAAATAGATAAAAATTGCACCAAAAGAGAAACTGAACATAACCAATTTTATTTTAATTCGGATTAAATGACATTTTATCAGAATCGAAAGGAATTTTTACTTATCTATACTACTTTTGTAACTTTCAATAATGAAGTTTTAACTTAATTGCAAGTTATATACAATTTACCAATTATATACAAAATAATGTGTTAGAATAGAGTTAATAGAATAGGAAATAACTAGAGTCCCAGTGCTATACTCTTCCTTAGTGGAAGAGTTCTAGTTAACTTCAACTTCTAACTCCTTCCTTATCTTGAATAGTGTTCTTTTCGAGTAAGAAGTCCTTCTCCTTATCAATTATGCAACCTTTTCGATCAGGAGATATCAGATATAACAAGTTAAGCTTATCTCCTTTATGTGCATCCCTTATGCTTTAATCTGTCCATGTCTGTGTACACTGTGGATGAACTTGGTTCATGCTTGAGTTCCTTTGTCAATCATCAAAACAAACTTCACTTGGGCCAACAATTATAATGTGATGATGAGAGTAAAAACACGAAGGGTGATGTCGTGCCATTATTTTTATATTATCATGTGTTCATGGCACGAAGGGTGTTTCCGTGCAGGAAAGGATGAGAGACATGCATTATGTTGTGATATATTTTCCGTCATGCTTTTATCTTGAGCTGTTATTGTTGCACCTATGTTTTCTATGTGATTTGTCGTTGTTGCTCTGTCTTTATCCTCTATTTCAATTATCGATGTGTTGTCTATGCCTTCTATCTCTTTAACTTGCAAATATCATGCTTTCCTTCTTGTTTGTCATATCTATATCTATGATGTTTCTCATTTGGTGCACTTTCGTATAAGCCTTCTACCATGTTAGTTATTCATGCCTTCTATTTGTTTAGCTTATAAATATCATGCTTTCCTTCATGTTTATTATATCTATATCTAAGCTTTCTAAAATGTTAGTTATTCATGCCTTCTATTTGTTTAGCTTATAAAGATAATGTTTTCTTCATGGTTGTTATATCCATATCTAAGCCTTCTACCATGTTAGCTAGTGAAATTTATGTTCATCTATCTTAAATGCTATCATTACTTCTATAATTCTTATCTAGTCTGTTAATGTTGTCCATATGCACTGCGTTGTTCGTTATTACTACCTGTATATCTCCCACTTTATCGCTATTGTTATTGGTATTTCTTTCACCTAGTTGGTGTTGTTATATGTATGCTCGGTGAGGAAGAGATAAATGCACGAAGGGTGTTAACGTGCCAATTGATTTGACTTATATTTAAATATTTGGTGAGGATGAGATAAATGCACGAAGGGTGTTGCCATGCCATTTGATTTGATATCTTGAGTACATTTCTCACACTATGAAAGTTATGAATTTACTACAGTGGTTTGTTGGTTATCGCTTTAAGGAAACGACTGGTCGTGATATTGAGGAATATTGACCGTGATTTCTTCTAGTAATCATTTACTGCTTTGCATATTTATTTCTTGTACTCTTCTCTGTTATGTTCTAGTATTGTTCTATTGCTAGTCTACTGCACATGTATCAGTGAGTATCTTTTAATTAAAAAGTTTCGTCACTAATTCACTGAGGTTAGACAAGATACTTACTGGGTATATGTGGTTGGTTGTACTCATACTATACTTCTGCACCTTGCGTGCAGATTTTAGAGCTAGAGTTGCAGTATAAGGCGGGAGCTGGCATCAAAGATGTACCTGCGTTCCGGCTATAGTTGCCACTTGTCCTTGGTAGCTTTAGATTTGCTAATCTGTTTATGTAGACTTCGAAGAGATGATGTATTTATTTCGTACCATCTTTCGTAAATTTTAAATCTTAGAAATTCATGATTTGTATTACCTGTCCTTGGAATGTTATATGGAATCCAGATATATCATTTCTTGATCACTTTTAATTTTATTAGAATAGTGTTTACTATTAATTGGATGACCTAGTAAGTTGGGTTAGATGCCCTCACGACTTGTGAATTTTGGATCGTGCACAAAACCTCTTGCGTTGGAATCATTCGGTAGTCCCCTAATCTTCAAGTTCCTCGGCATCGAGTTAAGGGTTTTCATGATCAAATTTGTCCTCGATTGAGGGATTGGTGTACTTGCTATCCCGCTACTTGTGAAAGTCCTGAGCACCTCTCCAATTTGACTATTCCATACTTGTTGTAGGTCATGAAATTTTTTAACTCTTCCTCTAACCCGGGACGTTCATCATTTTCGCTAGTAGATCGTTCTGGTTAATTTTTTCGGGAATGGCACGGTGAACTTTGAAGAGTATGATTATTTGGTGGAGTGATTAGTATCTTCCCAGCTGTTAAAGCTTGATTTTCCTGATGGTTGGGAGGGGTCAACTGCAGACGTGATGTTCCTTCAAGTCAAATTTAGCAAGTGAAGATTAAAGGATTTTTAAGGATAGAGACAAAAACAACAATATTCCGGAGAAAATGAACGATAGATTGGGCCCCACAATGGGTACCAAACTGTTTAACCAAAAAAATGATTTAATGATAGAACAATTAGATTTATATTTCAACGCCATAAACAACCTATTTGATTTAATTTCTCGAATATAAACAGTAATAAAAAACGACTATTGAGAAAAAAAGTATAGAGAAATTCTTATTGATTTTGATTCTCCGTGAAGATCCCATTCTTGCTTAGTAACAATTTGGTAAACTAATAGAGAGAATTCAATAATTTTTTAATAGGATACAAAGGGGAAGAAATGAGGTTTTAAACAACAAACATTTGTCATATGCATGGAGTACTTTACAAGAATTATGAAGTTAGTGGCTCAACAGGAAAGGTTTGGCTATCATACAAAGTGCAGAAGCTTACAGCGTAACCATCTATGCTTCGCAGATGATGTGCTCCTGCTCTGCAAAGGTGAATACCAATCTATTATACTGATGTTAAGGGGACTACAAACATTCTCCAACTCTTCAGGGCTAACAACTAATGCAAGGAAATCGAACATATATACTGTTAACATGGAGGCTCAGGAGATAGAGAATTTGTGTGAAATAACTGGTTATAGTATAGGCAACCTCCATTTCAAATATTTAGGAGTTCCAATATCATCGAAGAAGATATCAAAAATGGACTGCCAAGTACTAGTGGATAAAATAATAACAAGAATAAGGAGTTGGGGCTCAAAACATCTGTCCTATGCTAGGAGGGTGCAAATGAACAACGCAGTGCTAATGCATCTCCACACATACTGGGCATCAATCTTTCTACTTCCCAAAGCAGTGCTCAAAAGGATCACTTCAATATGTCGGAACTATCTATGGGATGGCAAGGTGGAGACAAACAGAAGACCATTAGTGGCTTGGGATCTTGTTTGTAGGCCAAGGCAAGAGGGAGGGATAGGAAAAAAAGATTGTACAATTTGGAATGAAGCTGCAATAGGGAAGTATGTTTGGGATATAGCAACAAAGGCTGATTCTCTGTGGGTCAAATGGATTAATCATATATACTTAAAGAACACTGATTAGTGGCTATATAGTGTACCCCAGGATAGTAGTTGGTATTGGAAAAAAATATGTCATGTAAGAGACAAGCTTACAGGAGGTTACGACCAGGGCAGATGGCAAAGACAAACAGGAAATATACAATCATGAAAGGGTACTCTTGGTTGAGAGGGACTTTGGATACTTGCCAATGGGGAAGATGGGTTTGGAATGTGCAAAATGTTACAAAGTATAGCTTCATTTGCTGGCTAATGATGCAAGGGAAGCTGCTAACTAAGGATAAACTAACCAACAGAGGGATCAGTTCAGATGGCCTATGTGTATTGTGTGGAAATGCCCCAGAATCAATAGAGCACTTGTCCTATGAGTGTCACTTCTTTAAGCTGTGTATCAATGAAGTTCTGCAATTGCTTAAAATAAGCATAACAAACTATGAAGGGCGGCATCTATGGAAAAGAATTGGCAGGAAGATGGGGAGCAAATTTAGAAAGGAGTTCTCCTATGCTATACTGGTTGCATTGAGCTATCACATATGGAGGGGGAGAAATGAAGCTTTATGGAAATGTGTTGTGCCTAGGCCTAGCAAGATATGTGCCCAGATAAAAAAGGAATGCAAAGTTCGTGTGATGGAAATTATCAACAAAATAAAGCGGGACAAGGATAGAAGATGGATAGAAGAAGTATATAGCTAAATAGAGGTTAGAAATAATGTATAGGATACAAATAGACTTACTTGTGCCTAGACGAGTAAGTATAGAATTATATATAGTCAGGTGATAGAGATGTCTTTTGCTTTACTTCAATGTATTTGTTCTGATAATGAATAAAAAAAATTCATTCCACCAAAAAAAACAATAAACATTTTCAAAAACCGTCCCTGATATCTTGCCTGCCCATTATCCCCATTGCTTGTTGTTTCTGTACATTACGCTTAAAGAATTTACAATCACTCCATAATTAGTGTCAAATTTCTTTTTATTCGGGATTGATTAATTCTCCTCCTTTATCCATACATATGAGACTTCATGAAAAATCTTCTCATGTTGACTCTTTAGTAGCCTGGATATCAACAATTCCTGTTTCAACGATCTTGGCCCAATTGATCTCGAATTCACTCTTCAAACAATCCTCCGATCCATTGGTTGTTTCCATACATATAGTTTAGCGTCAGCCACGTGTCATCATCTGATTTGCCCACGTGATAGATTCGCTTTTTACAAATACAATGCTACATAGTTTAGCTCTTGTGAATTCATAATTTTTCCTATATTTGTTATTTTGAAAAATTAAGATATTGTCATTTTTTAAAATTTCAATATAGTTATTTGAAACCGTATATTGATATCACTAACTTTTAATTAGCATGTCAAAATCATAAACCAAATAAATGTATTCTTGATATACTTAAAGTGATACATTTAAGTTGAGGGAGATGATCGATACCAATGGCTACAAAGTCCAATTGGTAGGGAGAGGTGATTGATTGCAACTATCCCAAGCCATCGTGCTCAGGGACTATTCCCACAGACTTTGCCTTTCAGTTCTCCCAATTAGTCCCAATCTTGGACCAAATTCAGTGCACTTTATTTTTCCCACATGTCAGACAACAAAATCAAGGAAATCAGCTGACTGAAAAAAAGTTTTGCTGGTACGTGTTGCTCTAGCAATCAATTATTTGATATTACTATTCACAAGCCCAAATGTGACGGGTGACCAAGGTTTGCGTGCTTTCATTTAAAACTTTATATATGTCCTTGACAACCAAATCAACTAATACTACTAGTTTAAACTAAGGATATAGACTTAGATACAAATCTATTTATAACCTACGGATATACACTTGGATACAAATCTACTGTATAAACTAGGCATATTGACTCAAATACGGTGATAAATCAACATATCTTTTAGGGTCATTTGGTTCAGTTTTGGGATAGACTATCAGATGTGATGCTATTCCACTTTTTCGACGGGATAACTTATATGGTCCCAAATTTTATTGGGGATTAGTATTCTTGTGCGATTACAAAACGATCCTTAGGTTATAGTGAAGCATACCTGGCAATGTTTAAACTTATAACTTCATTTTGATCTGTTGATTGATAAATATTATTGGAAAAAGATGCCGCTATTGGTCATAAAATTTTCTTTATTTATATGTTTTGCCAGAACCTAGAGTGGATTTGATTTATTTTCTGTACTTCAACTTTTAGAATTCCAAGTTGTAAATGAATTTAATAACTGGTGGTAACTTAAGTCACACACTAAGAGCGAAGAAGTCTAGGTACGTAGGAGAGCACTTACAAATTGTCATAGCCCTACTTTTTCCACTATGCAAAAATTGTAATTCAACCACATAATTAAATAGGGCGGTGGCCGATGGTCCATTATCAAAAAAGAAACGTTGTACATCATATGGACATCCTTGCGACAGCTAGGTTCTAACCATGGAAAAGAATAAAAAGGACAAAAAGCAACAGTAGCAATGGCCAAAAACTCCAACGTCTCTCTCCACATAATCTTTACAAACAACAGCTCAATTCCACAAAAAGTAATTATCATATGAAGCACTGAATTATGAATGGTCGGTCACTATGATAATGAAACTTAAATCATTAATGTCCGTAGGGGCCCCTTTTATCCTACCTAATAATGCATAGTACTACTCCTATATAAACACCTTTAGTCCTTCGCTCACTCCCATCAACGGGCAAACATAAATCCTTCCTCAAGTTGAGTAAATTTTCCTGTGAATTGAGAAAACAAACATGGAGAACAAAGAAGAAGATGTAAGATTAGGAGCAAACAAATATTCAGAGAGGCAAGCGATTGGGACGGCCGCGCAGAGTGACAAGGATTATACGGAGCCACCACCAGCGCCACTGTTTGAGGCAGGAGAATTGACGTCTTGGTCATTCTATCGTGCTGGAATTGCTGAGTTCATGGCCACTTTCCTCTTCCTTTACATCACTATCTTAACAGTGATGGGTGTTTCAAAGTCTGAGTCCAAATGCTCCACTGTTGGTATTCAAGGCATTGCTTGGGCTTTTGGGGGCATGATCTTTGCCCTTGTCTACTGTACTGCTGGCATTTCTGGTACGCATTTCTAAAACTATATTGTTACTCTTGTCTCATTTTAAGCGAAGGTGTTGCTATAATGTTTTTTTATTTTTTACTTTGATTGTCTCAAGCCCCTTTAAATATTTTGAATTATTAACCATGTCGATTTTTCATATAATATCAAATATGTACTGTAATGGTTATTTTAAAAAATTGAAGAATCTATATCAAACTTCAAATTGAAAATTAATTGATTTGACCCTATACCCTGAATTCATTCACATAAATTGAGACAAGGGATAATATTTTGTCAGATCTAGTGGTTTGAGTATATTGTGGACTAGAGATGGATTCAAAATCTAATTCTATGAGTTCAACCATTAATGTTATTCGCAATTAAGGTTATTCGCAAGAAACGTAATGTAATTTTGAATTTTTGTAATAATTTGCATGCATATGTTCGAAAATACTGAGTTTAGTCAAACCATCCGCCTCTGTTGCGGACTACTAACTAACCATTGGTTTTTGTTGTGGGGAATATTGCAGGAGGACACATAAATCCAGCAGTGACCTTTGGGCTGTTCTTGGCAAGGAAACTGTCGTTGACAAGGGCAG